TGATTGCTCTCACTGAGCAAAGAGGAAAGAACTTTAACAGTTCAAGTCTGTCTTAATCCCCTTTGGACGGAAAAGTTGGCCTAGTCACAAATAGCAAAGGTGGGACAAGTTTGAAGAATTAACTGGATAAAGGAATTGCCTGCAAATACATTTTTTTTCCTTTTTTAAAATGGGTGACTGACTTTATATAGCTACTACCAGTATAATCATGCTAGCTAGTTACACACTGGAACTTCTGGCAGTACTGCAAATACTGTATCATTTTTGATCACCACAACTGTGCAGGAAAGGTACAAACCTATCCTTTGCACAGCCTGGCATGATGTATGTATTGCAGAGCCCACAGAGGTTTTGTTACTTGTTCAATTCTTGTCCAGCACCTTTACGTAGCATTTTATTGTATCAGTCTGAGTCTGGGAGAGCAGCTCACCGCCTATGCTTGTGCTCTTGTCCTTTCCCAGTTGGCAAGTCCTCCACTGGTTGCACTCGCCCTTCCTTGGGGCCACGCTTACCAGGTTGCATCTATTTGGAAACTTTAGGGAAGGAATCTTGTTCCCATCACTACCTCTGTCCCACTGAATGCAAGCCATCCAGAACATGTACATGCAGAGTTATAAGTCGAAGGGGAGAATACCCAACAAAATTGCAGCTCTGGGTTCTGAGTCGGTTTGAGTCCTTACATGCTTACTGATTAAAATGTCTTGGTCAAAGTCCTGCTGTCTCTTTAGAGGTGATGACTTTCTTCACTGCATTCTGTAGTCTTCCGTCTTTTCTTGTATCCTCTTCTTTAAAACAAAACAAAAAAACCAAAAGAAAAACAAAACAAAAAGCTGTTGTGGTTTCATACGTCTATGGTTTGTAGGCTTGGGATATGGAGGAAAAGGTGAAGTAATTGGAGCAGACAGAACGTTCTTTAACACTTGCAGTTTAACAGCATGGGTATCCTTGAAGCAGTGTCTGTGCTGATGATGTCCAGTGGATTCATCTACCAATAAAGACGAAGTTGTTGCTTCTGTTTGTCTTAGCTAAAGCGTCTTTCTATAGAAAAAATGACCCTAGTTACCTGTTCAACACTTGAGTCTCAACGTTTGTATTACTTCTTTGTAATTCTGTATCTTAAGCCGTAACTGATGTTACCATTTTGAAACAAATCTGGTTTGGTGTAGGAACTCAACAATGGTTGCAAAAAAGTAAATCCCCAAATGCTTTTTCTCATACTAATGACCCTGCAGAAGGAAATGTGAATCTTTTTGCTTAAGAAATATAGTTCTGAATACTTCTCTTAGCCTTTAAAAATAAAGTATGGTTTTGAAAAATACTACTTTTTGGATTTGTTTAACTTTCTGATAAAACATATTTTGCTTAAATTAAATTTGGAAGTGCTTTAATTAAACTGTATATAGAACATGTGGTTTAAATTGGAACTAAGCGCATAAGGGCTTGTCTTCGTGACCAAATGAACTCAAATTACATTTGCATGTTGTTGTGTGCCTGGCTTTTGTTCATAGTCTTGATCTCCTGTTCCCAAGAGGCAATACTCAGGTCACCCCTCAATATAGGCTGAAACTTATCTTCTTCACTCAGGCTGGTGCTTACGTGTTGTGTGCAAATTAGAGTGTCTTGAATATAGATTTGTTCCCTACATTTTCCTGTTACTCTATCTTGGCTGCTTGTATCTGTCTACCTGTTAGGAGTCAAAAGTAGGAGGTTATCCCTAGATAGTAGAAATGGTCATATATGTGTCCTGCCTGCTTGTTTACACATCAGTTGCCCTTTCTCAGAGTTGATTGGTTGAAGAAAAACATTCTCCCGCATTTTGATTTTGATGTTGACATTAGCGGTTTAGCTGAATTCCCGTTCTTTGGGAATATGCATCCTATGACTTCTTTGGTGCGTGAACTTTTGTTGGTTTTAGCGTTACCTGGCAAATTAATTGAGGAGCTGTCTGGACCTCATCTCAGTTCCCTGAGCTGGCATGGGGCATCTAAGCAGCTAAACTCATTTGCACAGAGGTGCAGGTGCAGAAAGCTAACTGCACAGGAGGTGAGCAAAGACGGTAAGTTCCAAACGGGGGATGTAAGTAGCTAAATGAGGAAGTTGTTTTTCTCGTTGCTTGCTCTGGTATTTACTGGCACTTCCTTCAGGTTATTTGTTCTGTTGCAGCACAGAGTAGGGGTGGTTCTTGTAATAATAATAATAATAATAATAATAATAATAATAATGCAATAATAATCACCTCTGCTGGCAATTTGACTCTCAAAGCTGTAAGCGGGTACTGATGTCAGCTAAGATGAGGTGCTGCCAGGTGCTGACCCCTGTTCAGGTGTGCCTTTCTAAGTCCTGTACTGCGCTGTTTGGCTGATCCCGTGCCACAGATTAGGTGACCTGGCCTGCCGAGGAGTACAGTGATACACCTGCAGCTGACTGGGAGCAGAAGGTCATAACCTTGCTATTGCGTGTGTGAATCCGAGTGACTTGACTGTCCTCAGTCATTCACCTGCTGACCCAAGGGAAAATAAGTGTCAGTTCAATTGTCACATCCAGGCTGCTGTAGTTCACACGGAGCCCTATTGCATATTAATGTGGAGAATGCAAAGCTTGGTGCCTTTACCAGAATTTTTCTGAAAATTTCTCTTGCTTCAGTGTTGCACTGCAAATAAATACTCTTTGTCAAGATGGTTTGGGTTTTCTTTGTTGGAAGGCAGTGATCAGATGGGCTGGAGCCAGACTGTCTCAAAGTTGGATGAAAGCAGGTGGGATGAGCCTGGGCAGAGCAGTGATAAGGCCAGAGGCAGAATGGGTCAATAAATGAGTATTAAAAAGCTATGTAAAGGCTTTTTAATGTAAAAGCCATATAAAAAAAACGTTACAGAAACAGCTTGTTGCAAGTACTATCTGTAGTTTAAAATGTCTTTAAATGCCGCTTCATCTTTCTTGTTTGTTACTTTCAGGGCTTTTCCATAAAGCTCATACAAACCACACTCTGACATATGCCTGTACATCCCTCTTCTGTGAGATGGAAGAGCAAATGATATTATGGGAGCTCATGGCAACTGCTGTCTGATCAGAGACCTTCACCCAGTGGGATGGGAGGTTGTGGACCTAGCCAGAGTGAGCTGGAGCCAGGGTAGCTTTGGCATGTATATTCTCATGGATCATGGCATGCTACTTACTGGAAGTGTTTGGAGTCCCTTTGCAATCCCACATGGCATCTAAGCTGAGGAATGCCTCAGTGCTTTCAGGGTTGTAGAGCAAGCAAGCTGTTGAACTGGTGATAGAGTTTAGAGGGTTGTTTGCTTTCGCTGCAGGGCAGTCTGCTACTGGAAGTTACTGGTACTGAAGTGGATTGGTAGTTTGACCGGAAAACAGTAGCAGTATTTTCCCCTGATGCCTGAAGAAAGGTGTCTCATGAACCTTATTCAGAGCTCTGCAGTGGTGGGCCTCAATCTTGCTTCTTACATGATGGAGTAAGGACAGAAATGTAGAGAAGTAGTTCTGTAGTACCACAGAGCTGGAGTAAAAAATGGCAGTGTCCAATTGAATGCAGACACCTTCATGTTCAGTACTACAAGACAAGTCCTAGGAGGTCAGTAGTGTGATACAAGAAAATGCAAATACAGAGGAAGCAGGAACACTTTTAGTATGACAAAGAAATGAAGCAGATCAGAGGTGACTGGTGGACCTGTGCTAAGGAGCAACGATAAAATTCATGTGACTTTGGGCTACAAGTCATTGATCACCTTGTGAATCAGAGCATAGGTAAGTCACATTCACTTGATATGGTCCTCACAAACAGGAACTTCATGTAAGATTAACCTTTCTTCTTCCCTACTGACTGGAGATCCTGAGGTCCCACTGAATGTAAATACTGAGGACTTTCCTGTAAATATGAATCTTGATGACTAACCAGATCCAGATGTTACCTTGTAAGCCTTCTAACAAAGTGTTACTGCTGGACCTGTCAAATACACTTTGAAAGGTATATTCTAGATGGATGACCTCAGACAAGCTTGAGATATTGTCAATAAGTGAAAGTATTTGCAGAATGTGTTACAGTTCTTTTTTTTTGAGTAAGTGGGTTACAAATTTTGGCATCTTTGTTGTTGCACAGGATTTTAATGTGCAATCATTTATTTCAGGGAATAATTTACAAGGAATACGAGTTGCTACTCTATGTAAAAAAATTAATTGTGAAGGATTACAAGATTTGGATTAGCAGTTTATCTTGGAATTTCTTCCTGAAGCACAGCAGCTGAAGCAGTTGAATGGTAAGCATGATTTGTATAGAACAAAGGTATTCAGAAAGACAAGGTACTTGTGTAAAGTAAATAATGAGGTGAGGTCTAAAGCAGGTAATTGTAGATTGAATTCCATTATTGAAACATTTCGTTTTCTAATGTCACAGCGAGTAAGAGTTACTAGAAATTAGTTGAATTTGCATTTCAGGAAGAAAAATATCATTGCTGAAATCACATAAAACCCAGCACAATGTTCAACAAAATTACCTTTTAAAATAGGCTGAAGGTACAAGTTAGGAAATCATCAGAATTAGATGGAAAAATATCAAGGTACCATATTGAGAATTAAATATCTGAGCTGCTACCAACTGCACTGCCTTTCATTAGAGAAAATCCATACTGATGCTCAGTCACTGGTGTCTATTTCTTATTTGGAAAAAAAAAAACACCAAATGCCACCTGTGCTTTCTTATTTCAGATTTTTTTTAAAAAATGGGTCTGAAATATGGCTCTTTTTTAAGACTTTATAAGGACAAATTAACACACCTGTTCTACAGGATGATTTGTCCTCACTTTCTTGTGTGTTATCCTATAAAGAGGAGAAGTTCTTAGAAAAAAACCAGATTTTCAGAAGCCATTTTCTAATCTGTTACATTTTTTTCTTTTGTCTCTTGTGTGAGAAGTTATCAAACCAGAAGAAAAAAAAAAGTGAACTGGAATGAATTACTAGTCTGGAAGACCAGAAAAATTTTGCAATTAGAACAGATGTTAGACATTTATCAAGTGCTTGGGGTTAAAAAACAACATCAAGGTAACAAAAATTGTGTTTGACAGTTATTTAGTCTGTGTAAAACTACAGGTGGCTAAGGAACATTTGGTCTAATAAGGCAGTTGAGAAAATACCGTAACAGGAGATTCATAATGACATATTCAAGTAATTTAAATTTAAAAGAATTTCAACTTCTCTGATGTTCCTCGACCTAGATGAAGCGTATAAGGAAAATTCTGCATCAGTCTAGAACTCAGAATCTGTTCAGGCAAAGTGTGCACACATATATTTGAAAAATGGGCTTTTTAATATGTTTGTCATTACAGTGCTTTCTTCTGGAATAGGCTGGTTTTGCCATGGTCCTAGTACTTAGACCTGATCTTGACAAGTTGGTGTGATCAAGTTGCTCTATTTAATGAATTCAGATTGCATGTGCTGACAATCTCATTTGTTAATCTCTAGTTGCTTTTATCTATGAGGTACTGGGAGTATAATCCAGTTTATCCACCTTCTCTGAGAGATAAAGTTTTGCAACAGATTCAGAAAGTCCTTTGGAAAGTAGTCATTAAATTCTGCCTTAACATGTTTGCACTCTAATGAATTTAATCCCTAAGCACAAATAAAGGACATAGACATACACATTTCTGAATCTGTTTTGTTGGGTTTTTTTGTTTTTTTTTTTTTTTTTAATAATTTTAGAATAAAGGAAAGTAGTAGGGTAGAATTATTTTAAGTTCAGAGTTTATCCTGTTTTTTCTAAGGTAAGACATAGTGCAGAGGCAGTAAAATGACCTCTGGAGTCACCAGCAGTGTCCTCATTC